TGGTTGTATACATATGAAAATATCTGTTTTATTTTTTATTTAGTATAAAATATGTTCTGTTAAAATATTTAAATATTTCTTACGTAATCCTAAATCTTATATATATGTGTGAATGGAAAATTTAGATAACTTAATACAGATTATAATTCGGTTTATTTTTATGAATTAATAACACTAAAATCTTATATTTCGTCAATATTTTTGCACAATTTCAAGATATCTAGAATTAATTATAATTTTTATCCCCTGCCTTACGAAAGCCTTATTAATATAATAATGCAAACGCAGACAAAGTTACTTATGTCAGCTAGTAAAGAACACTTTTGTAGTACCAGTGAAAGGAAAATTATTTTTTAGTTTTATTTCCAAACTTCTATCATTTTCTACATAATGTATTACTTTTATATTTTTTATTTCATAACACTTTTTCAACATTGACGGGGTCTATAGGTCGCTTAGTATGAGGTTGCCATCAAGGAAAGCTGTCAATTATGTTTACGTTCATTCATAAGTCAAAAATACTTTACGCGGCTGTGATCTTAGTATCCTTGAGTTGAAGAACTTAACAAATTATTACGTTGCCTTAATTAAAAACACTACACGCGAGACTTAAGATTTATGATATGATATTGAGTTATTAACAATTTGATATAAAAAATATTCTTAGTATTAAAATTAAATCTTAATATTTTTAATATAATATTATTATGACAGTTCTCGTCTCATTTGGTCACTACTGATTCTTACTAATGCGTTTATATTTTATCTCCTAAATACTTTCCGACAATAGAGTGACGTCATCACATTAGTTAGTCAATAGATAATAACTCTATCTAGTATAATTACCATAAACAGTATTATTATTATGAATCGTACATCAAAAGTCGGGTTTTGTTTCGAAAGTGTCCGGCCTTGCCGCGGCCGCGTCCACTCGGAGGCGAATGTATGGAATTACATCAATCTGTGACGTAGTCATGGTCGTGTGCGATCAAAACTAGAACTACCTACATCACTGGTGTAAAAATAACTTATATAACTTACTAGAAGACGCCGAATAAACGGTTGGAGGATCCGCTTTCGTTTCGTCATATTAATGGCTCGAAACAGACGACTCTCTTTGACGGCTCTTTCACCTTTTATAATTATAACCAGTTTTGGATCGCGACTTCGTCAACGTTAATTTCGGAACTAGTAATATATGTAAGTTGACTGGGCAAAATCTATTCTGCTCCAGAGGTCATAAATAACCAGATATTGGAATTTATTCAGATTGTTTTTCTTATTCGATTGAACAGAATAAGGTATTCCATGTACAACTCCTTGTTCTAGGCTATCTTTCCACTAATTTTCACCCATATCCCTATAGCTGTTCTTGACTTATAAATAGCCTAACTAACACAATTTTCTTTTATTTATATAGATAACTTATATGAAATATAACATACTATATTTTCAAGTTACCTGAAACTTAATTTATAAAGAATAATTGGCTATTATGTTTTAATTAGTAATATGTATATATAGTATAGTATATATAAACAAAGATATTATCATCGCATCATTGGTTAAACGATATACTATATATTTTTATAATGTCTAAACACGCAACGGTTTATGAGCTAGAATTTATTAATTATTAAAGAACTTAATTATAGGCAATTTTAAGTTAAATATTTTAAACTTAAAGAGGTTATAATGTTCGGCTTGTGGTGAATGTGAGACAAATTAGGTAATTATTAGGGTCTTTTAATAATGGAAAAATAATTATACAATTAATATGTCAAACGTGGCCTCTGTTTAAAATATAAAGGCGTTTGAGGAAATTAATGTAGATTTAGACAAGCTTTGGAATACGCGAGTCTAATAAAACTACATGATTATTAGTTACTATGATATTATAAATATTCTAATAAAATATACATTTGTTTTTAAATATAAACTTGACTTCAAATAGTGAGTACATAGACCAAATAATGTTGACACTTACATTGTTTACAAAACACTCTTTGGAGATGTGAAAGGATGGCTCTTGACATTATTTGAAAGTATATAAGAGTTACATATCAAAATATATGTCTTGAACACGTATAATGACGATATAATATGTATTTATTCGTTATAATAATATTATAATTTAAGTTACAGTCTCATTATGTACCTTAGTTGGTATTTTAAAATTATATAATACATTTGTTAAACAAATGAATATGAGTGGAAAGCTTTCCCGACCTTATTTAGGCGTTGTTTTTTTTGCATTCGTTTTTTAATTATTAATTACATGTAATTAAAAGGTCTCAACAATTGCTTACATTTCATCATACAACCTTAATTATTAATTATTTTACCATGCACTATCGGTATTATATGTATGTATAAAATTATTCATATTAATATATTATGTATCTCGTAACATCACATTAAAGCACCATCTCAATATAAAGCCAGTGCGATCTATAATAATCATAATGACAAGAAGACAGCTGACCGTGAACTTGGCTCGTTACAAACACGTTAAGTTTGTTTATTGAAAATGTATATTAAATTACTTCATTTAAAATTTCAGCCTCTATACATTAGAATCAATTAGGCGTTGAAGGCCAAAGGGTAGATTAAATAAAAATATATTTTAAAACGTTCGTCTTTGTTAAGTGTTCGTGTATAAATTAATGTTGAGAAGGTTCTCTATAATAAAGTTATAATATATAAACAGGTTTCCTCAATCATATTAATATGTATATCTTATTTATTATAATATATGTAAACATATAGAGTGGTATTTCGTTTCGATCCGTGATAACTGGATATATGACCGTAACTTTCACGTGTGAAATTGGAAAGCGGTAGCGTGTTTCGGAATCCAATGATATATAAGATTCGGGTTTCCCCAGGAACAGAGAGAGTTAGGAATGACATGAGATCATTGTATTACGAATATAGTCTTACACACAAACACACACACACACACAAACATATGTGTATATACAGGGTGACTGGTGAATTACTATCAATATTTAAGGAGAATACTCGGTACATGATTCTTATTCGAATTATGTAAAAAAATAGGTACTTAATTTTTGACCAAATTTCTGTATAAATAAATAAAGTGTGGACACGTTCCAAGTGTTCCAAGTGTGGTCGCGTGCCGCGGCGTGCTGATACAACACCACGCCGCCGCACGCGTGTGTGTGTATACCTAATCTGTAGGGTGTTCACACGATGCGTAATTAATTAGATAACTTTTGGTTAACTTTACTTAGAAGTTTATTAATATTTATGTTATATTAATTTTTATTTTGTCATATATGATCGTCAAATATCACGTCCTCAAGTAACGATAGTAATTCACCAGTCACCCTGTATATATCACTAACACTTGCTTCATCTTTCCATTAATGAAAAAGTTTCAAGTTCATTAAGTAGGTTACAATGTAAGTGAAATCTCTTAACAATGACGACACTCAATCAAGTCATGATGATGATGTGATCACAGTTAGCTTCCATCATTACGTTACATTATAAACGGAAACGTGTGATATAAACTGTCACCATTGTTAACGATAAAAACGATCACTATATCAATTGAACATAATTCCATCGAACAATAGATATGAAGTATGGAGGAGTAATTGTCCGCATATCCATGCGATTTCATGCTGAATTTCATCTGATTCTGTTAGCAAACTCTATTAGGACTTGTTATAATAGTGTTCGGAACGTGTATAAACAATCGAATTAATTCGATTTATTATATTCACTTGTCATAATGTAATTAAGATATATGCATTTAATGATTGATAAAAAGTTATATTACTGAAACATAAACATACATTAAAATCAATTAAAGTGTGAGAACTGCTCAACTATGTTACTATTATATCTTCTATCTTCTTCTTCTTCTATATATATATAAAAATGGATTGCTGTTCCTTAGTCTCGCTTAAACTCGAGAACAGCTGAACGGATTTATCTTATCTTAGTCTTGAAATGTTCGTGGAGGTTCAGAAAAGGTATAAAAGCTGAAAAAAATTGATTCATTACTGGGAAAACCATAAAAACAGCCCTTTTTTATTTCCCATACAAACGTTTTTTTTGACATTAGGTTTAACAACTAACTAATATGTCAATCATTTTGACGCACTTCAAAACACGGAGATTTATGGCTTACAGGTAAACTCCAAAAATACATATAAATAAAAAAACGTAATAGATATTTCTTGATTATAGGGCGATACGAAGTTCGGCAGGTCTTCTAGTTAAATATATAAATTTCCAGATAGACTAATACAGTATATAAGATGATTCATTGATTCGTTGAGATATTCTTATGTTTTAATACCCATACTAAATATATAATATATGCCTTTTGATACTTTGTTACATTTCTTATGGCTAACCCAGTAACAGATTTTCTCTACAAGCCGGCCAGTTGACTCACCTGGGGTCGCTGACCAGTGAAAGTGTTCACTGATATGATTCAGGTGTGGATTGCGTAAACGAATGGTGATTGTAGTTCATACATGTCACATCAGAGAGCATCCAAAGTACTTACTAATGTGGACACAGCAATTTGATTGTTAGACTCAAAAGTACAGGGATGGAGAGAAATCTAGAACGATTCCTCGACTTTCATAAAGGCAGGACGAGCTTACAATGAATCCGGGATTTGTGGACTTTTATAATAATATCAATACATAGCTGTAAGGAATAAAATTAATTCTAACCTGCTTGATATTCATTAACAATATCATGTATAAGTCTTAAGCTACGTTGTTTTAAGCATCAACTTTTACTTAGCCAATTAAGAATTAGTGTATTATAAGGTTTTAAAGCAAAATTGTAAGCACCACGTATATATAAAAATTAAAGAAAATATTTACTAAAACATTTTATACTGGAATCAAAATATTTGAAATTATTTTGACATACCTGTTTTTAAAGTTTTTTGAACTTTAATTTTGACATTTTACTACTTACACGTGTCATTGTTATATTAACAAGATATGTTATCTTCTATTGCAGATGCAGTCCAGCCGTTATGTGTACTCGAATCGGACTTCGGGTTCAAAATAAACTGTGCCTTCAAAAAATCAGGACTATTCAGAGTAAGGAATCTAGGTGGAGTTAAAGCTCACGCTAGCATAGGTGAGGATTTTGACCAGTATTAAAAGACCCTTACTCATTAGTAACATTTAGGGCTATCTATTGATCTCTGTCAAAACATTCGATATATATTTATATGTTGCGACATGCATTGATTATTTTCTACTTAAGTTTCACATAAACCTTTAAATGATTGCTGCTTCGACTTGGAAATTTCATAACTTGTTGTTTTGTTTTTATAACTACTTAAATATTACAATGAACGAGGCTAACGCGGTATTATAGCGGTGTTAGTTATATTTGGCAACGTTGGATATATTTATTACAAAATATTTCATACGTCCAAGCATTATTATAAGGTTTTACAATAACTTGAATGATCGTTATAAATGACATATTTAATGTTTTGGATAACATAAAACTACGTACAAGATTAATCCGCGACCGCGTATCGTTTTGTGGTATTACAATTTGGTATAATTATTACCTGTCAAATAATCCAATATAGTATATTTATTTAATTCTAATTATTTTTTCTTATAATATACAATTATATATATATATATATATATATATATATATATATATATATATATATATATATATATAAAGAAAAGTTGTGTTAGTTACACTATTTATAACTTAAAAACAGCTGTGGTTGAAAGTTGGTGTGGAGGTAGCTTAGAAGTAGAAGACGGACAAAGGATATTTAATACAAATCGTTCGGAAAAGAAAAAACAATACATTTCAATATCTGGTTATTGACGGCCTTTAGGGCGGAATAGAGTTCGCCCGGTCAGCTAAACATATATCGCTAATGCCGAAATTGACGCGGACGAAGTCGTGAGCAAAAACTAGTTTTTTAATAAAAGTTCATTTCCATTATCTAGTTTGCTAATAGTAACATCTCGTACGAGTGAGTTATGTTTCTTTTATCTCATTCTTGTTTCCAAATAACGTTTATGGAAATCAGTTTCTGTCATTTCGTTCATTGACTTTTAACATTTGAAACCTTACTGTATTTTATATTCGAGCAGAATCTGTTTCGATTTCGTTATAAATTTCATTGAGAGGTGTGAATAATTTGTTGTGAAATATTCGAACAAACATACACACACTCAACATATATGTATTAATGTTTTTACATAATGCCATTCAAGCATAAATATAACTGTTAACTCAACAATAACTTTTTCATATGCTACATTTTCCATGTGTTATTGATCTAACACTTAATAAACCTATAATGAATTCTAGAATTCAGGTCCATAAATTTTCCATGTAAAAACATAATCTTAAAATACGTGCTACTAAGGTATTTTGACATCAGGTTTCAGTCTAGGAGACGAGCTAGGATTCGAACAATCGCTCACCAACCAGGACCCCAGCAGACGAAGATCTGTCAACTTCAAGAATGGAGCTCCAAATATACTGGTTGATACCACCAACCGCCCCGCGGCAGCGGCCAAGCAAGAAGTGAGTACTTACACATGTATAGCAAAACGTAGAATTATATCAATGACAAGGAGAAATGTTGTCGTAGTTCATAATGTACATTATTCAGTTTGGTTTATACTTACTCGTTTTAATCATCTCCTCGTTATAACTAAGAAAATATAGAAGATACATTAGATTTCATCATAGTATTAATATTTCAGAAACGTGGCAAACAGAACCGTATAATGATGAGACCGGTAGCGCCCGTCACTAAACCGAACCAAGCGTCGATGGACAAGTTATCATCATTGCACAGACGTGTCTCAACCATGGAGCCTATCGTGGTTCCCGGCGCTGAGATGCCCGCGTTCAAACCGCAACCCGCGGTAACCATGGCTAAACCCATGCCCATGGGTATACCCGCCTTCAAACCATTACCACCCAAGGAAGAAACCCTCAAAGTGCTCCCAATAGCCGCCAAGAAGACGTACTCCCCATGGCCGGTCCCATCCAAAACAGGAACTGTCTACCAAAGTGAGATATCACCAACACAGTATCACACCACGAAAATCATGAAACCATACAAATCATCCAACATCAACCCATTCGTTCCCATACCATCACAATCATCTATCATGCCGATCCAAACCAATCCCATTTATAACTTTGTAGACCCAGTACCTCATCAAGTTCACGACATAGCGAACAGCTACCCCGCGTACAGCACCAAGAAGATAGACGATTACAACAGCATTAGCGGTTATAGCGACGACACTACATTAAAATTTAATAAAGAAGATATAGACGCGAAAATAGCTGAGATAGCCAAAGCTGGGAACATCTCAACAGAAGCTGTTGAAGCGGCTATAGCGCTCAGACAACAACAACTGTTGAGCAAATACGCTAACATACCAACACCAACAACAACGACGACGACGACAACAACAGAAACTGTTGTTTATCAAGAACCCGAACCGGAAATCATAGTGGCTCCTGTACCGCAAAAACCAAAAAGGTATGTCGTTAATAATTTTCATTAACATTTATGTCCACCATCCTTGAACTTTGCATTACTTTTAATGCCAATATGTTATTTTAAATGGCATTAAATTAAAAATATATGCACTTAAGTAATTAACTTCAAAAAAAAAACATAGGACATTTTTTTAGTGATTGTACTTCAGTTTTACAATCCTTAATAGTCTCTTTTGAAAAAGCAACTTAAGTTTTTGCTTTCAAAAATGTTTTTTTAATCATAAAGCTATTTATAAAACTGCTTAATTATTCCAGTCAATAAAGTTATTAATTTATTATTGGTATTTTAAAAACCTGATTAAATTTTCGCATTAGCGATCTTGGGAGATAAAAATTAAAAGTATGGTCTATAATATAAACGCCAGTGTTTCCCCTGTGTTGTAACAAATAATGTGTTAAGAAATCTTTGATATAACGCGTGGCATTGAAATCAGTTTGCAAAGTTTCTGTTCTTCACAATACCTGAATAGTGTTTAGAGACCATTACTTTTAATTTGATTTTTTGACATAACTCATCTTTTTGAAGTGTTTCTTTTAGACGCTTCGATTGATTACTAACTTAATACCTTGTAATAATGAAGCTATAATCACTCCATATAATTATAACTATATCATCCAATTAATCAAACGCTGTAAACACTACAAAAGCTCAGCGTACACAGTCTTATCTAAATTTATGACCGTAAAAAATATTTATCTTATAAATATAATACAATCGGGTTCCAAAAATCAAATTAGACTGTTTTTCCATTCCAAATAACCAAAACATAACTAAATAAAACTAGTTTCCAATAAGTCATAAATTCCAATCGTTTTTCCAATTGCAGAAACCCAACAACAGGCAAAGTAATGAACGCTCCTCGCGAGTATTATCCCGTGGGATACGAAAAGAACTTTGATGACCACTTCCAGTCTAAAGTGGACCTGCCAGACACCAGCTTCCACTGTGGAGATCAGAAATACTTCCCTGGACTATACGGAGACGAGACACTAGGATGTATGGTGAGTTGCTATATAGATGACCAAAATATTACCAGTATATCAAGACAATGGCCAACAAAAACAGCAAAAAATTACAAAAACCCAAAAAGACAAAAAAAGTCTTCAACAAATATAAAAAAATCCGAAATTCCAGCCAAATCTCAACTATCAAATCTTTTACTTGACCCTTCATATACAAAATCAGCTTAAAGTTTAATTAAACCGTAATAATCTTCATATATGTACATACAAGCTGCTCTCATCCTTAAGTTAAACAAAAACAACCATTAGCTCCATATAACTAGTTCTCACTAAGCTCTCACTTCTCACTCATTTCTCGCTCACTTCTCCCTTCTCACTAACTTCTCACTCACAACTCACTCACTTCTCACCAATCTCTCGTAACTCGCAGGTGTTCCACGTATGCGCCCTAACAGACGATGGTCTAGTAATGAAGTCCTTCCTATGCCCGGAGTCCACACTCTTCGACCAGACTATTCTCAAGTGTAACTGGTGGTTCTACGTGGACTGTAAACACACAACCAGCCTCTACGACACAAACATACCAGTGTCTAAAAGCTACCAGCTTATGAAGGCCTTAACCTTCTTCACATCTTATAAAAAGGAGATGGAAAATGGTAATTATTTCTTCATCGCCTCTGAATTGAAATCATGTTATTAAAAGTGGTCAAACAGAATTCGAACCTCTGACTATAAATATCTCATTTTATTCGCTTCTCTAACTGAGCTGTAATGTCATCCGTAATTTGAAGGAAAATTTTATTTTTTTCTTTTATTTATATTGAAATGTTTGACATTATAAGCAATTCCTTAAAAAGATTTATCTCTTTGCAGTCAATCGTATAAATAATAAAGAATATTTTGTTGAAAACATTTCCTTCATTTAAGTGTTTTAATAACAATAATATCCTCAACATACATGACATTACAGGTGAAACAATGAACCCCGAAGACATAGGCGGAGTTAAAGATGCTATAACAATACTACAGAACCAAGATACTAAGACGGCTGAGAGCGAACGAGTACAAGTAGTGACGTCACTGCCGCTCATAGACGAGAGAAGCAGGAAAGAGAACTATACCGCGCCCGTGTACAGAGGAACGAGGGAATATAATGAGACGGAGAATGAGAGAAAGAGACGGAAAGAGAGTGTGACAGAGAAAGAAAGTGACTTGAAATATGTTACAGTTAGAACAGACATGACTTACAACAAGACTGATAGTACAGAGAACAGACGGCTGGCTCACAGACACAGGGGATTGGCTGCTACTACTACTACTACTACTACTACTACTACTGTTGCTACTACAGAGAAACACGATAGTCCACTAGTAGAGATCATGAAGCAAGAAATACAACCTATAGAAAATATACAGACGAGAAGAGAAACACTCACTGATCAGATAGACGATACAGACGGAACAGATACACGACCTGTGAGGAGGTTCTATAGGTCGAGTGGAGAGAGAGGGACGGAGATAGAGAGGGAGAAAGAGATAGAGATAGTTAACAACGAAAGGGTGCAGATAGTGAGGCCGGCTAACATAGAGGCGAGGCTAGACGACGCTGTACTAGGACGATCAAGACACAAAAACACACATACATAGATATAATAAATTAGTCAATTTAGTGTCATAGAGATTAATTTATTTATTCCTCAATTCACGTAACGCGCCACGTGTCCCATGAAGCGTTACGTGCGTGCTCAATTATAAACGTAGTCTGCCTTCAGTCAAGTGATATTACGGTGTATTTGTGTTTTTTGTATTATAGAATAAACGTATTTTACTGATTAAACATTTATTTAAAGCCACATGTTGTATGTTCACTTTTTGGATTTTTTAAAACAGTTCAGAAGCCGCTCGCATATTAACGGACCCGCTATTATGATGCCCGCGGCCGCTAGGGCTGTGGCGGCAGACAGACAGATCATTATATATAATGTATATATATGTATATATGTGACAAGGTATATAGTATCACAGACGTATATAGGCGTTGTATCTGAAACAACGGAAACGCAGATATCAATATGTGATACTGTCAAATTAAACATATTATATACAACAAATAATTTATTACATAACGACCTTACATGAAGTTATTATATGATACTATCGTTTGCCGGATTTAAGGAAACATTTAAGGAATTTCTCGCAAGCTATCGGGCCGCATGCTATTAGAGCCACTGCGGCCAACGCCGTGGCACAAGTCATGCAAATCATTTTAACACATATATTATGACATTTGAACTACAATTAACACAAAAATATTATATATATATATGACACTACACGTAGAAAATTTTGGGGTAAATCAAGTGCTCATATACTGACAAATTCAAATCAGAATAATGTACACAAATTGCAAAAAAAATTGGCAGTAATTAACGTGATAGATATATCAGTTATATAATATTATGATCCTTATTATTGTCAGTATTCTCGAGGCTGAATGTTATATGCTTGCAGTAACAAAAAAAAACTAGTATCCCTATAAACGACTTGTGCTCACAAAGAGTCTTATATTTAATTAATGTATAAGGTATAGTATAAAATTTACACGTTGTTCAATAAGGCGTCCCACAGTCGGGGCATATAGGGATTTCAGGGCACGTACACCTTCGGTTGAATAGACCGCGGCTGCAGAGCGGCGTGCACGCGATCAATGTGGCTACACTCAATAGACTCAGCAGGGACACGCAAATCATGTGCGGCTGACCGCACTGTTGTGTAGCCCTGGAAACATAAATAACATTAACATTTACATGCCCATCAGCCTATCAGAGCGCACTGCTGAGCAAAGGCCTCTTCGCACATGGAGAAGGTTTGAGCATTAATCACTATGCTTGCTCAAGAGGGGTTGGTGATTTCAAACTTATAATTGTGAAACTATAAGTCCAGGTTTCCTCACGATGTTAACCTTCACCGTATGTCAGTAGTGTCTAAATACTCTTAGAAAGTACATATGACTCCGAAAAATCACATTGGTACTTGCCAGGTTTGACCCCGCGCCCTCGGCAACGAGAGGCGGGCCCCTTAACCATTAGGCCACCACTGACTTTATTCACAACATTTACATACAAAAACAAATATAACCAAATATATTTTCAAAGCTCCTGTCAGAAATTTGTTGTATTCAGATTTTACTCGTATTTGCTATTAAGAAATATAAGGCGTTAGTTATAAAATATAGTACGTACTTTCCCAACCTACGTGTCCCGTGGTGTTCCTTCTTACATTAGGATGTTAAACGCCGAAGGATAAACCTGAAATCAATATTATTCTAGCACAGTTCCACAATAATTTTATACTCATAATTTTAATTTAATTGACCAGATTTCTGACAGTTGTTGTTTTGAGACCAAAAAACGTCTACATCATTTTCTAAATTTGAATTATTCTTTAATTGCCATCATTTTGCTTTGTTTCATAAAGATGTGATGAAATCTCTTTGGTGGAAGATATATCTAGAATTTAGAGTCTTATACAAGAAATAGATCAAGAAGATAAAATACAATAAACATATTATTATAAATATATCAAATGTAATATTAACAAGATACTTAATTTTCTTTTAAAATCTATATAATTTATTTGTTTATGTTATACTACAAGAATCTTGAACTAAAAATATAGATAATATTTAATTTAAATTTATAATAATAGTAGTAATCAGATAAAAGCATTTAAAATTAACAATTAAGGTATATTACTTGTTACTTGTTAGTGTGGCAGAATGTGTTAAGAACATTGGTGAGTATTTTCAGCATTCTTGTCAAAATCCAGTTTTACATTGTGTCCTGTAAATGAAATATAAGATGTTCTTAGTTCTTACATATATGATGAAAATAGGCCTGTTTTTATAGTAAAATATCCATATGGTAAACAACAATCTAAATAAAAGAGAATTTCAGTATTAGTGAAATAATATATTAGGCAATTTCAAAATGTAAAGCTGTTTTCCAATAATGTAAAAGCTTTTGAAGTTGCATATCAACCATTGTCGAGAGTTCCTCAAATTAAATATGTACTAATTATTCCAGATATTTATTCATGAATTTTCACACTAGATTACCAACATATGAATGTGAACGAGAAACGGGAAACTGTTGGTATGTCGTTTGACAATACTGACTTGGGACAAGTGCACCGTTATCAAGAAATAAATTAACTGGTCGGACATTACTGATTAATGCATTCCCAAAGAGGGTTGATGTCAGGCAGGCGGCCGGTCGTAAAATACTAGTAGCCAAAACTATTCACAAACATGTAAGGCAGACCCTGGCTAAAGCTGGGAAAATGCCAGGTAGAAGAAGAAGAAAATAACTGGTCGGAATAATTGCTAATCATCAGATGGTTAAATGTAATGTAATAAATAAGTTTTTAGTCGTGTATAATCATGGTGTAGTAATTTCTTTTTTAATATTAATTTAATCCTGATATATTGTCATTCAGAGCAAATATATTTCCTCTTTATATCTATCTTATCGATTCAATAAAAGTATTGTTAATAGAATCGAATTCCCTAGCTTTTTATAATTGATTTAATAATTAGATTTATATAAATAAGTAAATTTTATATAAGAAAAAAAGTACTTGATTGTGCTGTTCTGATATTAGTTTTTAATTGCGCAGTATATAAATAATAACCAGTTTGTCTTCAATGTATCAGTGGGGTATTCTTATAAAATAAAATAAAATTCTCTTAGTCATATATATGTATAACTTTATTGAATAACAAAGTCATCACAACTTTTTGTTCTTCTAATACATCATCATCAATCCTCACATCCTCAAAATATCTTCAGACATAAAATTTTGTACTATTGGGTCAATGACCTTTCTTTGAGTCCAGGCATCATCCCCCTAACTTATATATCAGTTTATAAATCAAGCTGCATGCCTTCTTTTGAGTTTTATTAAAATTTATCATTGTGTTTTTATTTCTTATGTATTTATGTACTAATAATTTATAATCAGTACATCATTTTAAAAGAAATGTAATGTACACAGGATAATTACTCTCAGTGGCGGCTGTACCTTAAGTGCACTCGTGCGCTGAACCACCAATTCAAAAGATTTAAAAATTACAAAATATTACTTCATCTTTATTTTTAAATTACCATTTTAATATTTATTTTCTAAACATATAAAAACGTATAAAAAATTAAATTTCTAATTATAGTCAAAAAGTTTAAGCGCTTTACTAAACTAATATCTCGTGCGCTTCGGCGAGTGCACGAGGACTGCTGATACATCTTGTATGAGATATGCATTAATACGCCTGACGCGTGAAACAAAAGAAATAAAAAAATAAACACGTGTACAAATTAACTGTTTATTAAAAAACTTTACATATTGCAACATAAACTCAACAATTTGGTTTCTCCTCGCTACAAGGTGGACACACAGTTTGCGCTGAAGTCTCTTTCCTTTCACTTTTCCACTTCTTCATGGTTTGGTCTAATATCAGCGGGCCACAACTAATACATCCGAGTGCGACGAAAGCTGTGAGTAAAGTCATGCAAATGATCATAATTAGAAAAATCCCTATTTTTTGAGACACTTCATAAATTTGTGCATCTCAAACTGCCGGTAGCAGACAGGAGCGCAGGCAAGGAACGTAGCGGAGGCGATGAGGGCGTACAATGAAAGGCAAATCATTTTTCACAACGTGCCTGGCCCACCCAGTGACCAGAATTTTCTCTAACGAGGATTTGCTTCTAATATCTAATCCTGCAAAAACATTATACAACTGTATTATTTACTTGTAGTAAGAAAAATGAGTATTAAATAAACTCTTAGACCAACTCACCCTTATGATGTCAAAAATTTATCAATTTTCTCGTAATTAATAAAATGAATACCGCTCCTCTCTCTCGGCATTCCAAGGGATTTTCCAATTTTAGAAAAACATATTTTTTTCTAATACATTGTTACTGACAGACTCACTGAAGTGACAGTTTCTGGAAGCTTTTTAATAAATTTGAAATATTCTAAAATAAATAATGAACGGGCCAGAATTTATTACAGCGGAATTATATTAAATAACAGTCTAGTAAGATAATAGACTACAATAAAGCACTTTCACTTACAATTATTGTTTATTGTGTGTTGGCTGCTACATATAGACTAAATCACAAATAAAAGCAAAATTTCAAGTACAAGTAAAAAGAAGTTTTTATACGTCGTTTAGAATTAGAACAATAAATTGAAATGATAGAAAATTTGGCATTATTTGATAGTGATTTGTTTATTGTACAAAACCTCAAACATATTTCTTATCCATGCCTTTAAAATGATAAAACACATGATATAGTTATTCCAGTATTTTTTAGGCAATTCACTATTGCCTCTATATAAACGAAAAGGAACAAATATCTACAAATGAAATTATATGTAATATTATATTGGACACTTTTGGTGTCAGTGCAGGCTTCGCCAGTGAAAAGAGCTTCGGACAATCAGTTGCCTTTGGGCAATGAAATACAAAGTAAAGACAATAAAGTAAGGGAAGCTCCACGTGATTGTAAATCTAAGTGTGCTTCGGGCATAGCTCAGAAAGCAGCAGCCGAAGCAAAAGCTGCTCAAGCTGCACAAAATGCTGCTGGTGCTCAAGCAGCTCATATGGTATAGTATGTCAATGCTATGTATATTTTAGCCACTTAAATCGTATTGATAACAATAAAATATTCATAGGTGAAAACTCAACTAGCAGAAAAGGCACTTCAAGCGGCTAAAGCAGCAGAAGCAGCACTAGCTGGTAAACAAGCGGTTGTGGAACAGCTTCAACAAGAAGTGAAAGAGGCTGAGGCTGTAGTTGCAGAGAATACTGCTGCAGTACATCAGCAGCAAACAGCAGTGAACGCAGCAATACAAGCTGCACAACAGGCAACAGCGGAGGTAAGTGTTTTTGATTAATATACTGAGAGGAAGTAGTAGATTTATTTAGTAATATTTTGGAATTCTATCTTCAACAATATCTTTCCAATTTACAATTTGATAAGTATAAGTTACTTATTAGATTCTACTAGTAAGTCGTGAATTGAGATTGAGTAATTGTTAAAGGTCTTGGATTGAGCGTTGATTGAAGATAGATATACTCCAAATTCGAGTGAGCTGTAGAAAAGAAACCAGAATGATTTGCATGTCGATATGTACGTTTGTAGCTGCAGCTACCTTATGTTCTTGCGCCCCGGTGATATTCAGTAAATTGAGAGAAGGGAACTTCTTTTCCTGTATTTGTAAAGGGAAAAAAAAAATAGTGTCTTTATATCTATTTATGTATCTAAATTGATTAGTGTATGCTGTTTACGTTGAAATAAAACATAATTTTAACATAGAGGTTTTATTTTACAATAGTCACTATTTCTAACAGCACAAATTACTGTCGCAAGCAGTTCAGCTCTCTGCTCAACTTGAGAAAGCGGCTCATTGTGTTTTAGAGAAGGTGAAGTACGGTCTCCAAGAAAAATGCCACAACCTCGCTGAGGCGAGATCTCGTTTGGCTCACCTCCAACACAAGCTGCAATGTGCATGCGCCGAATGTGCCGCAACGAAACAAGCTGCTCATACAGCTTGCGAAGCAGCTAGAGCAGCTTGTGGAAACGCTCGGAGAAGAAAGCGAACATTAAAAATAGCTCAAAGCAACTCACCCCAAAAAAGACAAGCTAAAGTGGGCCGATGACTTCTGTTTGAATTTTGATTTGTTTTTTTTATTCAGTGCTTTGTTAAAATGAAAGTTGGTTTAAATGCAGTATGAGGTAAAGGAAATATAGTTGGTAATATTATTTTTAGAGTTACGGTGTACTATAATTTCGTAAAGACATGTTTACTTACCGGCGATTATATTTTAATTAGTTTAAGATTCTGATGAATGTGTAGTTGTTAGAATTGTTTATTTATAGTTATTTGTATTTTTCAATATCTTGGAATTGTTTGTCTTTAGAAATGTTTATAACATAAGAAGAAATATTACATAAAATTTTCGTGTGGAATTAAAATTACAAAACTCATCACATGTTTTACTTTTCATAATAATGTACATTATATTTAATACCAGCTTTTCGCCCTGTCTTCGACAGTTTGTAATTAGGATTTGATTCCAAGAGAATCGAGTAACGTGTGCTTGAGAAATGAATATGGTAAGAAACTATTACGTTCCAGTTCAAGTGAACGGAATAAATTGATACATAATTCACTGTTATTTTGGCGTAGATGATACTTATAGGACAGTTTGATGTAAATCTAGTTCAGAAAAGTAGTAAAATTATTATACTCACATTTCTATATCTTCCCTTTTTCTGTCTTTTTTACGTGTACCTTAAAAGAACGGTTAAGCTCTTAAGATGTTTGCTTAGCTACTTATATTGTATTTAGGAACTATGTAGTTTCATATAGCAGATAACATTCAGTAGAGTTTGAGACCGATTTGTTCCATAAAATGGGTGAACCCTACCGATACAAGTTGTTACCTGGAAGTATAATCAGTCTCGTTTTAAAATAAATATCAATGGAACCACCGGGATACTGTTAAGAAAATTAAGCTCATAAATTAAAACATTCAGCACTGCTGTCACTTAAAAGTTCTTGAAATGAGTGCAGATGATTTTAAAGCAAAACGGTAGGGGAATTTCAATCTTATCAAATTTTTTAACTACAATTTTACCATTCATAGACTTATAAAAAACCACGTAGTGCCCTATATAGTTTTTTTTTATGAGAAAGGTGGCAAACGAGTAGAATGGCAACTTGATGGGCAGTATTCGTCGTCGCCCATTAACACCCGCAACATGTCTAATGTTTCAGATGCTTTGCCAGCATTGGTTGTTGAAGAGGAAGAGATGGAAATAAGGAGATGGGAAAGGGTGGGAACAGGGAAAAGGCAACCCGCTCTCTTACTCATCAAGCTAAATGCAGCCTCTAAATACTGCTTCACGCCGATCTTCTATGAGAGGGTTGTACTTCGTCTGTCGAACCAGCCTATGTTCGAGCCATAGTAACTTGAGCAAGTTACTTAATTCAAGTGAAAGACAAAATATGTATTTTTGAAATTCTCTAATTTTTTTCTGTTGTTTTTGCTACTGCATAACTCTCAAACTCCTTGGCTAAAGTGTAATGTTCAATATGATGATGAGTAGTACAATACATGTTTGTTATCGCACTTGAGGCAAATCACAAGAATCCTCACATTCGCCTGTAAAAGTAAATGAGGTACATATCTGAAATGTCATAAAAATATAGGATATTTATAAAAATACTAAATTGTAAATAGGTACATACAATTATATAAAAATATTAAAACAGATTTTTGGACTTAACACACTGTTTTTCATTTAATATAGGTAGGTACCTACTGTCTATTTTTTATACATAAAAATGGGTATCAGATTGCTGAAAAATACACTTGAAATGGTAGTATCAAATATAAATATATCATTAAAATGTACAGGAGAACTTTTTCCCCGTTCATTTAGGTAAATACTGCTTGAATGCTGTAGTTCATTAATATACTTTAGACTTTTATCATTAATTGAAAAAAAACTTTTCTCTGAAATTTTTAAAATACAATGTTATGTCACAATTTTACTATCAATACCTTGTTACAACGAAATTGACATTCAGCAACAAATGGCAGCATTAAAAATTAGATGCGAATGCAAAAACAATAACTTGAACTATTATATTTTGATGCCGCTATAATATTTAAAAGATTAATAATTTTCCGACAGTATTTTTAATAGTGCATTTGAATGCAATATAACTTTTTGAAACTGATGCCGTAGTGTTTTAAATTACCTCCTGGGCTTTGGAAATGGCGGGACTTGCAAGTCTCTTTTATTTCTCTTATTGGATAGGTATCAAAATGACCAAATATCCAGAGGAAATCCCCAGAAAATAAATTTCAGTATTACTATGGAGCACTACGTGGTTCTTATTTTTCATCAGTAATAAAACCGTCAAAAACGTAAGACCTGTGATTTTGGTTTCTCATTTCCACTTATTTAAACAAAAGCGACAACATTGTTATTGTATATTATTCCATTATATACATATTAATATTTCTAATATATAATAATAGTCTTTTAATATAATAAAATTACAAAAATTTTGTATACAAAATAAATGACGTGATCATGTGAAAAAGTGAGCTATGATAATTTTCAAATGGTACGTCCGAATTAAATATTTCAAAAACTTATTTATAGATACTGATGTAGGCTTGAACAAGAAGTAATTTATTTTGATAAGACTTATCCTCTAATTATCAAAATAGTTTTCCTATAAACACTTCATGAATATCAATTTTTAAAAGTAGTAAAATGGATATAGGTATGTAGTATGTTATCCTTAAGAGATAGATATATGCCAACGCGGACTTTTCTAGAGACCTATATTAGACACACAATACCACCATTCACTGTTTTGTTATATCTCAAAGGGTTTTTTCAGCGTTTTCGTTTAAAGATCACAGGCGGCTCATATTTTTCCGAAATTTACAACAAATATCGTTAATGTATACACAAATCAATACAAAACCTTCACAAATTATGTATTTTTTTATAATATGTAATTTATTTTTGTTTTATAATATGTAGGTATATATACAGTATTGAAGTAAAAGTTAAACTTCTGATTGATTTTCTTGATTTTTTGTTGTAAGAACCTTCCAGGACTTATGAAAAAACATGAAAAAGATGACGTTGTTTTCAAAGGATTGCAAAGGGGTTTATTATTATATGTTTATAGATCTAAATTACGTCCATACGTAATTTCAAAAATTAAAAAGTGTCCACATACTTTTTAATAAATTATATTCTCTAAAATGTAACCAACAACTATTTTCACATCTACAATAAATTCTTAGCACTAATAAATAAAATATAATAATAAATAAGTTTTTTGTATTAATATTATTTGTCTACTATACTAAATGCATCGTTTAAGTTTTGCGGACTGAATGCCATGTTACTGTTTTTATAGTTAACATACGGAGACATGGTCGCTGAGACAGCTACATCAGGGTCAATGAATTCGTTTGAATCAAACTCATCATCTTCATCATAAACATTAGCAGACTGAACTCTATTCACATATCTCGCTGGAGGTTCCGCATATTTCCCTCCAACTATAACTTCTTGAGAGTTTGGTCTTTGCTTTTGAGGTCGAGGTTTTTCACTTTCATTTATATAGGGTTTCTTTTTCTTTATGAAAATAATCGGCTCTTGTTCCACCGATTTTACGTTCTGAGCGTAATCTCCATAAGCCGTTAAATCGTATTCAGTGTGAGGTTTAACGAATGTCTCTGGTTTTACAAACACAGCATGTTTCTTGGAATAATCATAGCTATTGTCGAAATCTTGATCGTTCTGATAGTTCTGCCATGAGCTGTACTCGTGATCACTCGCGCCTGTCTCTCCATAACTACTCACTGGTCTGGAGTTAGTATTTGACAATGAGTATTGATTATAAGAATTTTCTACAGCTGTATTCGGTGGAGCGACGTATGAGTCAATAGGTGGTTCGCCGAAGCTCTGTTTTGTGTGCTGGTAATTTGGTCTAAAGTCTTGAGATGTCTCTCTGTAGTTTGGTTCTGCAGCGTAGTAGCTATGTGGTATTTTCTTTGGTGGTCCATAGACGGGTTTGTATGTAGATTTTGGAGGACCGTAGCTGGTTCTCACTGGTCGTTTCTTATAGCTCGGTGGGCCGTATTTAGTTTTCACTGGTCGTCTGTACTTCTTGACAGGTTTGCTAGGTTTTGTTGATCGATACTTATAACTAGGCGGTCCATACTTTGGTTTTGGATTTCTGTATCTCTTTTTAGATATTTTCCTGTATACTACGTCTGGTGCTTGTCTCGAAATTGGTATGATTGGGAAGCTATCAATATATATGGCAGCCTCTCGTTTGGACAACCTTTTCTCTGAGTTTTCTTCCAATAGGTTCTGTGTTTGTCCCTGGGTATATACTTGCGAAGCTGCGAAGACTATCTGTAATTAAGAGTAAAATCCTGATTCAATGTCTCTGCTTGATTTGCAATAATATTTTTTTAGTAATATAGATGAACACATTGCCTCAAACATATAAATTGTGCCCGGGGATTTATTTTAATATCGCATTATTACATCAAAGTATTGCATCATAAACAACATGTGAACAAAATTAGAATTCGAGTTTTTCGAGAATAGTAAAGTTTAATAGAAACACTCACAAGTTTAACCGATTTTGATTCTTATTATCATTGTAATAAAAACTCTATCAATTATTTTACGACATGTAAAACGGATACTTGTCAAATAGTATCAGTATATTCAAATTGACGATCCAACTTTGTAAATCTAAACTCTTCCCAAATGTATGTCATGTTATATAAGATGCGATGTTTTTGGATTCTAAACTTTCACATGTTTACATCGGAATGCGTAGTCATTTATCAATTTACATACAAAAAGATAATTTTCTATCCCTAATCTATTTGCATTTTTAACTTTCTCCTTGTATTATTTTTCACTAGGGTCCTGACCTTACTTCCCACTGTAAGTCTTGAATACAGAGTAGACTATGCAAATGTATTTTTAATGGCTGTTTAAGCTGCTAAGTATACGTGATAACTTTTGGGTATTTTCATATTTAATATTTCATTTGTTGTTTGTTGTTTCATATTCTTATATGTAGGAGGATTTTAAAGATAAGCTTGAGAAATTATTAAAGAATTTCGGAATATTATTAACACGGATTATTGCAGTTTTTCAGCTAAAGAAGATAACGGATATATAAAGAAAATTAATTTAATAAATTCAATTGCTGGATTAATATGTTATTCGTATTATCTATAAAATATTATTGTAATAATTATTATATTATATATAAACATTTATACCATAATAAATAAAAACAATTCTTTCTCATGATAGTGAATCGGCGAAACGAATTTGTCTCACAATTAAGAGAAATTTGTATACTAACAACCAATCACTGATAATAATCTGAGAACATGGTTTTTCAGTCAGTAAAAGTCTTTGATACGAAGTGTGTACTATGTAGATAATATGATAAAATATGTAGTATACATGTATTATACAATTTTTTTCGTAACATTAGATATTCCTCATCATGACTATCTAAACTTTTTAAATGAATAATAAAAAAATGTTATGTTATCATCATCATCAGCCTATCAGAGCCCACCGCTGAGCAAAGGCCTCTTCTCACATGGAGAAGGTTTGAGCATTAATCACCACGCTTGCTCAAGACGAGTTGGCGATTTCAAACTTATAATTGGAAATTATAAGTCCAGGTTTCCTCCTGATGTTTTCCTTCACCGTCTGTCAGTGGTGTCTAAATACTCTTAGAATATTTATATTACCTTATTATAATTAATTTATCATAATTAATAATCATATATATAAAATAAATAAATAATTAAATCAGTATCATGATTGTAACATTGTCTTTATGTATGCTATAGTATTATATTCCACTCGCCATAGTTTTCTATACAGCGACCTGATCTACATACTATGTCCTAGTTTTCTTATTACTGGTTGGAAATGTATTAATATTATTGAAAGGATATATTAATTACCTTACTATTGTAAATTAATGAAAATTCTATTACTTTATAATTAAAAATTTCTCAAAGAATTGACTTTTATATTCACGAAATTGTTTTTGGTTTTAATTCAATGTTTAAACTATCATTTTGTGTAGAATTAGAATTTCAACGAGCAGGGGAGATCAAGTTTTGACTTAAGTTTATTAGACCTTATTTTGTACTGTCTTCTCCTAGTTTAGAAATATTTTAGAGCTGTTTGTAGTCTATAGATGTACAAGAAAGCATGATGTGATTATAGTTTTGCGAGACTATTCTACATAGTTTTAGGCACTCTACTACGAACTTTAAAGATATCTTGAAGGCCAAGTATTAGTGGTAATAATTGAAAAAAATAATGATATATTTTTAATTTATAATTATTAACTATTCTTATTAAGTTTTCAGTAGTACAATCGGAGTAAAGGAATATGAAATTATATTTTAAAATTGTTACTGGATATATTTGATAACTGATTAAAATATTTAATTAAAAATAATTCATGTTTTAGATATGTCACACTATGCTTTTTATATTTAAGATTTTTTTACCTATTTACTGTACCTTTTATAATAAAAGATATAGACAATATGGCAATACATATTTTAATGTGGACAATTCGTTATCAAATATATATATATTAAAAATAAATCAATAATATACATTATTAATATTCAAAATATTTATAGATACACGGTGAAAGGACACCAATTTTATATTTCTACAACTTAATCTGGTACAGGCAAAAATGTATCATTCTGAATATATGATATAGAAGAATAATTTTTAAAATTAACAATAAAACTATTTACCTATATTTTGTTTTTCTATAAATTCATTATTATTATCCACTTTCGTTTTCCACTTTATGGTAGCTTAGGTACATAAAAGTAGTTTAGAAACACGTTTTTTAAACATTACTATAATGACAGTCAAAATCTTGTCTAAATTTATGACAAAATTTTTGTGTTTTTATGTTGACTTATGATTGTTAACTTTCATTGTTTGTACGTGACTAAGGAAATCACCTAAATACTTAAAGCCTAGTTTTTTTGGAAAAACAAAGAAATTCTCCTTAATTTTAAAAATTAATAGCTGTGTTATTATTAACAATTTCTTATCTTCTTCTTATATCTTATCTTATCTTCTATCTTCTATATATATATAAAAATGGATTGCTGTTCCTTAGTCTCGCTAAAACTCGAGGACGGCTGAACGGATTTGGCTAATTTTAGTCTTGAAATACTCCTGGAAGTCCAGGGAAGGTTTAAAAGGTGAGAAAAATTGGAATAACTGCCGGAAAAACCCTAAAAACAGCCCTTTTCTATTTCCCATACAAACGATTTTTTGACATTAGACTTGACAACTAACTAATATGTCAATCATTCTGTTCGATTGAAATAGTAGAAATTTAATAAATACTTATACCAGGTTATTGAAGACGGAATAGAGTTTGCCCGGTCAGCTATACCTATATTACTAATGACGAAATTAACGCGGACGAAGTCGCGGGCAAAAACTAGTTTATATTATATTTTAGTATCCTTACTATGAAATTTTTATTTTTATTAAAAATCCCTTGTTATAATTCAATTATTATTTTAAAGATTAACTAAAAAAAAGGATACGTGTAATGTAACATAGCTTGACAAAACACAAAATTCCATTTTATTATATTAATTTATGCGTTTCTTATAAAACAAAGAAAGAGCTGACTTGTGTGAGGCTGCCGTGAGCGATCATAAAACTACATCTCACGCAACAGATACACAGAAATACATTCTTAGGAAAAACTGATAACAGTTAAAAAGGAAAATAGTTTTCACTGGTCTTCATAAAAAAATAATGTCTTTTTGTATATAATTGTTTGTCACTGGTAGTTAAATTAACAGGTACATTTAGTTTGATGGCATCAAGTTTGACTTAGAAAATAAATACTGTATGATTTTATTGGATTTAAATAAACACATTTATATTTATATTGCACTTTTTTTTTAATCTTGTCAGTGAGATGGCTAGACAGATTATGTCTTATGCATAAGTTATAAATTTTTATTTTATTACATTTATTTAAGAAAGTCTTTTATATATTATGTTAATCTGATTTTAATAATCTTCGTCTATTTTATAATTACTGCCATTTATAAACGATATACATTTATAATTTATTTTTGTCACATAACTTATTTTTTTTCTTAGAAAACTGATTAGAAAGTTTAATTTATAATAAACTAAAATATTTCTTCTTATTTATTATATTATGAATTTAAAATATTACTTTTCTATTAGCGATGTAGAGAATTAGATATATAAAAATATTTAATAAATAAAATAAATCACACAAAAACAAATGTTCAACAATGCAGAAATGTTTAAACTATAACACTATATCTGAATATTTAAAAAAATAAGAATAGAAGAGTAATGTATAAAAAAATATAAAAAAAATATATTTCAACTTACCACTATCAATAAACAACGGAGTGGATCAGGGAGCTTCATTTTAACAAAACAATAACTGAATATACAAACACAATATTTAACTTTGTTTTATTATTAAACCATGTATCAGTACGTCGTGTTAGCTCGAAAGTTGCTACAACAGTGATGCGTGCGTCTTCATATCTGATGCTCAGTGGAGCGAACATGAGGATTGAGGATGGTTTGATGCTGTAACTTAAATGAAATTAAACAAATATATATTAAATACAGATATTATTAATAATTGTAAGTCATTGGTAATATATTCAGAGAGCGAAAAATTTGTGATGTTTTGTCAAGTCCTGTTAGTAAAATTTAGCTGTAGTAGTTTATCTTCATTGTTTTGTGATATTCTTTCTTTTTTTGTTATTTATAATTTTTTTCGTAATATTTTTGTAATTGAAAATTCGTTTTATTAACTTATTATAATATTTTTGTAAGCAGATAGACAGTAATCTTCAGCAGTGCTGTGTACCTCTATAATTGGTACACACATCAGATAAGTGTCACTTTTAAATGTTTAGTTTTAAGTGTTTAATGTATGTACTGTTGATGTGCCATTCAAATAAAATAAAATAAATAAATATTTCCTATATAATATGAAAGATAGTACATTAGTTTTCTTGTATCTGTATAGTAATAAATTTTAATCCATTGAAATTCAGATGTTAAAAAAATTAATACTGTTACAAAATACGAGTATAAGCTTCTGGATGCATTTCATCGGCATCAAAAGGATGATCTTATTCATCTCCATACGATAGCTGTTTGATTATCCATGACTTTGTTTGAATTGACAGAGAGCGAGAAAAGCATGCTATAAAAAGCATATACTAAGTCAGTGGTGGCCTAGTGGTTAAAAGGACCGCCTCTCATGCACGAGGGCGGGGGTTCGATCCTGGCAAGTTCCAATGTGATTTTTCCGAGTCATATGTACTTTCTAAGAGTATTTAGACATAACTGATTAATGCATTCCCAAAGAGGGTTGATGTCAGGCAGGCGGCCGGTAAAAACAATTAGCCAAAACTATTCACAACATGTAAGGCAGACCCTGGCTAAAGCTGGGAAATTGCCAGGTAGAAGAAGAAGAAAAAAGCGTGTACATTTTATATTTAAAACGTTTGCTTAAAGCATGCTTATGCAGGAGCATGCTTAAAACAAGCATGCTTATTGCCCGCAAAGGCTGCAAGGCATGCTTGCATGCTTAATAGCATGCTTTTTAGCACTTATTTAGGAATGCTTATTCAAAGTATGTGTAACTGTAGCCTAAGTTTAAGTTACACGCTACTATCTGTATCGTGGGAATAACTGACAACCGTTATGTGGCGACTTATTAATCTATTTCTGACCGTACACTTGTAGTGAGATATATGTATATACATATTAAGATATTAAATACTTTGTATGTTTGTTTGTCGAATTTATTATTCTAGTAGTACTTATATTTTGTGGATGCTTTATCATTAGTTTTATATATTTCAATTCATTGACGAATTTATTAATTATTTGTGTAAAAGGTGTCGTACATTTGACTTTGAACAATAATAAAATATATGTGATTATTTTAATATGAAGTTGATAGCTATAAAATGTATTGTAAGTTGAATAATATCAAAATTGTGCAAAACGCTGCACATGTGCACATGACTTTAAAATAGTACGCATTTTTTTCCACTTTTTTTTTGAATCACAATAATTAAAATGCAGTATATTAGGTGTTGGCGCAAACGCCTGTTAAAATTATGGAGCAATTTTGCATATGAAGGTTACGGAGCGATTTAGATGTAAGGCGCTTCGTTTATTGTAATTTAATTTTTTACCTACCCTGTTATAAGATATGTAACACAATAAAATTATCATTGCAACTAATCTACGCCTTTTTAATATCTCCTCGTTAAATACTATCAAAATCCGCCACATTAGGACATATAAGCATTGAGCACCCTAAATAATTTTTCGGCTAAATATAAAAATAAATATTCAAAATTGATTATTATTGATAAAGACAAATAAAAGTTTTTTTTCAAACAGTCACTATGTTTATATGAATGTAACATTCTGTTGTTCAATTATAATAATTTTGTAAACGACCTACATGGTACATACACGAATCTCTTACTTTTTAGTAAAAGTATAATTATGTTCGTAATAACTAGAAAATTATGATTTCACGTTGAATTAACGATTATAATAAAAAACAATTCATACATTAGGCTTGTATAAACAATTAGTTTGATTCGATACAAGTGTTTAATTTTAATGATATTTTTTTTATCAATTTGTTGGAAAACTTTTACGTACGTTATGTAATTCCATTGTAGGTATTGTCTAAGTTATAATTATTTGTATATTTTTTGCTAATATAAGAAATAAATTGTTTACATATATATTTTTTTATTGGATACTAATAAGAAAAATAAAAGGTGTGTAGTTTTATGATACCACGAAGCTGAAATTTTTTAGCAAGTTCGGCTCTGCGGAGCGAACTAGATCTGTAAAGACCTTTTAGTCTAAAGGTAATGCGACACATTATACAAAGACAAAATAATTCGAGACCATGATATAAATTATTGAATTTAAAATAAATAAAATTATCGAAAAAAAGAAACTTTAACCACGCGCACGGAGACAATATTTTTATGCTAATTGACCATTCTTAGACGCTTTCTTTTTTTTAACTTTGTTTTATCTTATGTAATCATTAATCATTCTAGTTTTATTACAACAAAATTAACAGTATGTATATTGTTTACAATATATATTTTAGTATATACGTAAAATATAAAAGTAATGAAGTTTCGGTTAAAATTTAAATTTATATTTAGTTAATAGAACATTCAAATTTGTGATCAACGCCATCTAGGAGTACACCTTGAAAGTTCGTAGCTCTTAAAGTTTCACAGGTATCATACATAGTAGTTATTGACTGTGCACACAACGAAGCTCTCTAAGTAATCGATAGATGTCGCTATTAAAATATGTCTATAAAAAGTGGTTATGATAAAACTTTGTCTTAAAAGAAAAGCTTTTTATTAAAATATTTTTTATACGACTGTCAACGTTTCCAGGGCATTTAAGAAACGAAACTCAGAAATATCAGTGGCATGAAAAAATTTATTTGATTTTCTTTTAATTATATAATTATGCTACTAAAATAAATACAGAGACTGTCTCATTATCTTCACCTTAACTATATATTCAGTTAAATTAATAATAATCAATCAATAATACATAGGTCGTTAAAGCGTTTAACCTAATTATTTATTTACAATTCAAATGTATTCATGTGATCAATAATTATAAATATAAAAACTGTGTTGTTTATAAAAACGTGGAATTTTATTTGGTACTGTGGTTATAACCTTGAAAGAAAGCCGCGTCATACGAATGTACGATACTGGATACACAAAAGATCGCAGCTTGAAGTTTGAACAGATAAAGTTATGTGAACGTGATATTAAACTCGTTTGTCTTATTGCTAGCTTTTATAATTTAAGATCAATTTTATAAATAACAATGGAACTCTTAGTGGAAGATAAATTCGCTTAAAATGACTCGATTATACAAAAACTAAGATCGGTTAACCCGTATGGACAATACACTCCCTTATTATACATAACGAAGACCAAGTATATTAATGACTAAGAGCACTTTATGAAACACTTTAAAGACGAAAAGAATACAAATTTTATTTCTTGAGTTTATATAATTTGTAAGAAATTAGGATTGTTATATTTTAATTTGAATAGTTTTAGTGCTCAAAGTCATACCTTAAACTAACCTTAATCTATGGCCGTCGGAAGATTTGGATCGACGCAATGTTGCCCTGCCAACGACGGACACTGCACAACGAAGGTTAAGTTAAAATTGGAAGTCTATTAAACTATGTGAAAGGCACGCTAAGTGTTTGTACATATGTGCTATAACGTTGGCATGGCATGGAAAACTGTCCCCATAAATACATTAGATAAATAATATATCATTTTTATTAATTTAAGTGTAATTTTGATGGTTTAAAAAAAATTTCAAGTATTTTTTTTTTGGGCAAAGTAACGTAGTTATAGGAACGTAATTACGCTATTATTATAATTATGTTTATTGATATGTTGCATCTTTACATTTACTTTTCCAAAGTTTGCAAAACGAAGAAAAAAATTATAATACATACTTATATGTTAAGTTAAACTCTAGTTGAATTTTTTTTTCTTCTTTTTGCTAATTTGTATACAAATTTGGTAAACAGGCAAACCGCATATTGACTTTAGTTATGAAATAATTATGGTAAAGCTTAAAATTGTATTAAAATAAATATTTACACAATATATGTGATCCGCTTGTTCATTTAAAATGAGTTAAATTAACTAAATCATACTAGAGTAGATGTTTTTTGGAATAAAATTATAAATATACATAGAATTACTATTTACAAATTCGGTAATGGAAGTTTATTACATAGGAGACGTTACGTGACAAATATAAAGAAGAGTGTAACGATAATGATATTGTGTATTGCACAATGAGAGATCTTTGAATATTTGTGAACGATGTATTAAGCTTTGAATCAAGAAAAATTTGGATTTAGAAGGTAGAATAAGTTCTAATAAAAAAATGTGTGAACAAAGCATAAGCTCAGAAACAAAAGAGTCGTTATATAGACTAGAAAGGGAAAAAAATGGTTGAAATAAAAACTGATATGGAAATAACTAGAAATAAAGTACATATGTTATATATTGCACATCATTGCGTTGCTTCAGCTGTGTGGTAGTGTGAGTAGCGCCAGACCTGTGGGGGGGAGTATTCGACCTCCTGGCCGCCGGCGCCCCACATCAACACCGTCTGCCGCGGGACCTCGCAGGCCTGGGAACGATCCGCGGGCCCGGACCCCGGGTCCATAGGGTCCGGGGCCGCGGACCCACTGGACCCCGGACTAGGCCCCGGGTTAGGCGAGCGACGATCTACATTCATATAGCGGCTGTCCACGTAATACTCTCTAGATGGAGGCCGGTATGGGACCTCGTATGGAGTCGGCTCTAGAAAACCGTTTGGAGGATACGTGTAGTGATAGGATAAGGGTTTGTATTGATGGAAGATGTTGTCTGATAGGAATCTATCGTCTAAGGGAGGGGGGGCGTAGTGTAGGGTGGGGGCGGGGGGATATTCTCCGTACGGGGCCGTGTATGTCCCGTTTAGGTTAGTATAGGCCGCTGCTACATCAGCAGCAAGATATTCCACGGGCGGAGGAGCGGGTGTAGTTGGAACCCGTCGTTTATTCCTACATGTTGAGAGGAAATCTCTCAGCTGTGTTTTATATCGTCTAGCAGCTCGTGGCGGTGTAGTCACTGTGGACTCACAGCCAGAGAGCTGTTCTGTTTCAGAGAAGTATAAACTAGTGAGACCAGTGTCTAGATAGCTGACTTTAAAGTCCATTGTTCTCTTCCCGTGGAGATCGCGACCTTCTTCCTCCCTGAAAGAAATTTTGTTCATTAATTTGTGGGTAACATTTGTGCAGTATTGTCTGAAAATAAAGTGGTTATTAATACAAGAGACTTTTATTTGGGATACATAATTAAATTTTCTTTCAAGTCTATTCGGATTTAAATACTATTTCTCTAACACATGTAAAGATTTTACCAAGAAATGGACAAAGTTTATAAATGTATACCATATGGTCGTTATTATTACTAACATGAGTGGTCTGTGGGTGCTGATAACGAAGTCAGGTTTGGAGTTCTTATAGACAAGTCTTGAGGATGTTTGAAGCCACTGCCATAGACCGTCCTTAGTTTGAAAGCGGTACGCGATCATGCCTGAAGCTCCAGTTTTTAGTACTGTAAAGAAACGAATTGGAATATTTAAACGACCAAAAATGTAGTAAATAAGGGAATCTGTATTAAATAGTGAATAATTTAGTGTAATCTGGTATTACCTTGATATACTTACATTCTTGATGAGCGCTAGCCACATACGCGAGGTCTTCGTAATGTACAAGATCGTAACCGCCCATGTTAGACAATTCTCCATCCGTGTAGCCAAGCAATAACTTGCCTCTGAAACAAAAACAAAGGATTACAAAATATTGTTGAAATATTAGAAATAGCAGTGTTATTGGAATTTGCACTCATTAGACTGAAGAATTTAATTTGGTTTGTATATTAGGAAGTAAATTCTGCATTAAAAACAAAGACAAGATATCGAATGTCGCTTGCTTATTTGTTTTGTTCAAATTTTAGTTCGTGATACTTTAAAAATATTGTTATTCAAAAATCGATACGTGGCTTGTGTAGATTTTCGTTAATGAAAAATGACTGAAAATATTGAAGTGCTAATTGTTGATAAGGCTTTCAAAGCCACATCAAAAAATATAACAATATATTCACTCTAAATTCATAATAATAAGTAGTTGTATGGTTTAGCTATGGTGAAGTTTAGGAAATCTAACAATCTCAATAAAAAAAGAGATTGAAGGTCATTGTGAGAAGTTTATATTCTGTAATAAATATGAATTGTTCCCGTGTCGGTGTGTTTATCCCTTTGATTGTGGACCAAGTATGACGATAACCAGAAATGAATCCATTTGTTACGCCTTGTGTTTGATAATTATACATTTTTTACGGGACATGAGATTTTTATTCCACATCCGTTGTATGAGAATGATGGAATTATATATAAAAACATTAGATACCGTAGTAAAAATAAATAAAATTTAAGCAAGGAAACCTTTGATCAAGACCTTTATACGTCTATATTCGATGTCACTAGTCATTAGTCATTTCTTCCACTAACCTTTGATCCATAGACACTAGTGATAGGTCAAGCTTGTGTTTGCTCTTGAACATAACTTCTTTCTGTGGTATTTCTAGAAGACTTGGTGGTCCAAAAGGCGCGCAGATAGCAAACAACGCTAAGGGTGGCTCTTCAGTCTTCTTATTCTGACCATGAAGTACCTTTATACGACCTCTTATATCTAACCTCTGGAATATATTTAATAATTACTAAGTAAGGATTTATGGATGCAAGTTTAAATTATGTGAAATTTCGATTTAATGCTTTTATAGAATTTATTAACAAATCCTTTTTTTTATAGAAATGATCTTATATTATAATGACTAAGAATATTAAGTTTATAACGTAGTAGCAGGCACAGACTCTACCATCCATACTAACCAAAAACCCTGACGTGTTGTCAAGAAGACATCTAAACCTGACTGTGAAACTTCTCTCTAACATGTGCGCTCTCTCCGATCTTAGAACGTCTTGTAATGTGAGTGTGTTGGCTTCTGGGGGGAGGAAGGAGTTCCATAGAAGCTGTCTCTGAAGCTCCTCGCGGTCTTCGGAGTGAACCAGTTCGTAAACTGATTGGTGAACGATGTCTGACTGAAAAGAGAATCGATTATTTCATCACAAAAAAATGACATAACTAGATAAAATAAATCTATTTGGAAAAAAAAGCAAGTCACCGTTAAACTGAGGATAAATAAACCGACGATGACCTTAAAAATTGATTCGTGAACGATCATTAAAGAATCATCTGTTACGAAGATGGATATGTTAATAATGGATAGATTAGAAGCGATTAGCAACTTTAATAAAGATAAATAAGGTTCATATTAGAACGGACGATAAAAATTATGAATTTTAACACGTCGTATAACAAAGAGTCGTGTAAATAGTGTGGATAATGTGCCGACAATAAACGATGCAAGTAGAAAACTAATTGATAATCAATGGGGTTGTGCAAGGCACCACGCTGGAGCCCCAACTTTTAGAATGACATGTTAATGAATCATCCACGTGAACCCTCAGTTTATTATAAAATTGGGGCTCTGATAGTCGAATGTTGAATGTGGGTTCGAACATATTGCGTTGGCATTAAATGTCAAAAGATGATTTGTTTTGTAATTGCTTTTTCCTTATCCGGGGTTAGTTGCTTCGGACAACTTGAATGCTAGTTACTTTTTTCATGGTTTATGTCTTCGATGATTGATTTGTGTTATTATTTGGAAACAGTCCCAAAACACGATTGTTCTGGTATACATTTTGGGCAATTTTTTTTAGTTTTGATGTCTACGACTTTCCCGAGTATTCATTTCAATAAAACAAATGTTTTTGGATGTACTACATACGCGTATTTTTATTATTATTTTAAACTGCATACTCCAGATTTTTCGGTTACTTTACAGCAACTGAAACGCTGAGAGTATGAGAGAGTATTTAAAATAATAATAAAAAACTCGTACGTACAAAAAAATGAGTATTATTTAAGTTTTTGGTATCAAAGGTACACGTATCAACATAAATGTATCAGTCTGAAGAAGTCAACAATATATTTTATGAAACATATAAATGCTATAGGTACATATAAAGAATTGAAGTATATATATATTAAATTCATATAACTTGAATCACCAAATTCATGTAAAGGTGAGTCCCATAATTCACAAAGTTCGAGCACAACCTTATGTTGCAGATCGACCGTACAATGTCTCGAAACAATAGAATTGTTTCACCTTAATTTTTAACATATATTTTAGGGAGCCATGTGCGGTCATTAGAGGGTTGATACGAGCGCCACCTGGTGAGCCGGCTCCGAGTTAATCGACCCTTGTCCGAGCACATTTTAAGGGTGCGTTATTGTAATTTTTAAATCAAACTTTATTAGCCGTGGGGCAAAGTTGAGTCACGGAGATAGGTTACATTAGAGTGCTCGTTGAAAATGATTCCAAGATATATTGAACAAATGATAGAATTTAACAAGATTAGAAGCTAAGATTATTACTATATTAATATAGAAGAAAGAATCATATATATTTAACCTTTTCCAAATCATTGTAGCTAGATTATTGGAATGTAATCTACATCTTTGCAAAAATGTTTCTTAAAACACATGAATAATTTTTAATATATTAAGTTCATTGACCCCTCAGGACCTCAATCACCAGACAGTTGCTTGAATACTTTATTTTGACCAAAACCATTTAGTAACACGTGCCAGAGATAGAAACGGATCATTTGATGATTTCTTAATGGTCTCTACTCAATGGACTATAAGTATGAAGTGAGACGATTTAAAATTCACTAAAGACATATTAAAAAGGTAAATCGAAACCTAAGACTCCTCTCACAATATAGATGTATATTAATGTTTAAACGGTTACTAGAAGAAGCACAGGTATAAAGGATATATTAATTTAAAAATAAGATTTAAATGTATTTTATAATCGTATTTATTCTTAGCTTTGGCTAATACTTCTTTGGGTAATTAACGTTTATAATTAAAGTTAAATAGAATAGAGATCGTCAATCACAAAAATTATATTATAACATAACTACATAATCTGTGTAACTCAGGTAACCAAATACATTTAATTCTGTTTCAAAACTACGAGGGTAGTAAGGTTTGGTAAATTTCCTGGGGTCGACTCGTGCCGGGGTTTTGATAGCAATATATCATTGCGACTTTATTAGCTTTAATAACTTCCACTGAGGTTTTTATAAACAAGAAACGTTTTATACAACTACCTTCATTTATAGCCAGAAAAATGTTTTCAAATCTACCCTACTTAAGACACATCTTTGTATCTTTATAAGTTTTATAAAACTACACTAATTAATAAAGTAGTGTGTAGTAAATAGTTATAAGCGAACACCCGTGTGCTATCGTAAATGTCAAGTTATTTAAAATATTATCAACATAGTGGCAATTAAGTGTTCCTTAACAGCACTATCACAAGACGTACGTACTCGTAGCTAGTGAATCGCAATTGTCATTAGTTGTTTTAATACAAAATCGAATGATTATAATTAATAAAATATCTTAGTTTTACGAGCACTTTATTCTGTTTATATTATTCACTGATAAGGCTGACGATAAACGAGGCGGTTTAATGAAGCCTAAATTCTTTATAACAGTTATCGCTGTAATTAATATTTTTATTAAGTCACCTGAAAATTCGAGCCGTATATATTAAAATGATTAATAAAACGGTTGCGTTTGTGAGTAGAATAATGTATATTTTTTTATAATGGCCGTAATTAATTAGGGAAATGCGATAAAAAAAGTGAAATATGCATTACATTTTTGTTTTAACCTACTTATGCATCTTTATTTGGGTCAGTTAGTTTGTTTTTTCGTAATATTTTTGTGTTTTTGTGTATTTATTCTTACCTGATGGAAGCCTAAGTAACTTTCAATACTGTGCGTAGCGAAGAAGACTTCTCCTTCGCAAGTGAGAATCATCAAGAACCCATTGAGAGCCTGAAATCAAAATTAAACTTGTAAAAATAAAATTAAATACTTATTTAATATATAATTTGTTTTGTGAAGAACAATTATCAGCATTCAATTCCTATAAAAATTGTCGTCTAAAATTTCAACTAATCTATTTATATCTAACTAAATTACCTCGCAATTGCAACTACGCTGATCACAAAACTTAATTTAAGGTAAAAATACTTCAAAAACTTTCCAGACATCGTGCAACGAACATCGGAGGCGAAGGAACGTTAAATATTAAGTAAAAGTTGGAAGCTTTTATTTATAGCCTGAAGGCTTAAAGGGCGATATTGATTTATAACCAAGATATATTAGATTTGTTTCGATGTAGCTCCTGTATTGATAACTTTGTAGGTACCTTACTTATATGATTATGATATACAAAAAATATTAGGACTTCTGTAACATGAGATTTAAGAACAGTGTTATTTGTGATATATTTTTATATTAAGTACCAATGTGATTTTTCCGAGTCATATGTACTCTCTAAGAGTATTTAGACATCACTGATTAATGCATTCCCAAAGATATTTGATGTCAGGCAGGCGTCCGGTAAAAACAATTAGCCAAAACTTTTCACAACAAGCAAGGCAGAGTCTGGCTAAAGCTGGGAAATTGCAGGAAGAAGAAGATTTTATATTAAAACTATTGCTTTAGTAAGTAGTATACCTGTAAGAACATCTCTCCATCCGGCATGATGTGTTCGTAGTGCGTGTGATCACGACGATGTAGTTCTTCCTTTTCTTTGTGCATGACCACTGTAACATTTATAATATATACATAGTATATAACACTCTACCACATATACAGGGTGACTGGTGAATTACTATCAATATTTAAGGAGAATACTCGGTACATGATTCTCATTCGAATTATGTAAAAAAAATAGGCACTTAATTGTTGTCAAAATTTCCGTATAAATAAATAAAGTGTTGACACGTTCCAAGTGTTCCAAGTGTGGACGCGTGCGGCGGCGTGCTGATACAACACTACGCCGCCGCACGCGTATGTATGAGTGTGTGTGTATACCTAATCTGTAGGGTGTTCACACGATGCGTAATTAATTACATAACTTTTGGTTGACTTTACTTAGAAGTTAATTAATATTTATGTTATATTAATTTTTATTTTGTCATATATGATCGTCAAATATCACGTCCTCAAGTATCGATAGTAATTCACCAGTCACCCTGTATAATATATCATTTTATTTCATTAAACTTATCATAATTATATTCATATGGATTTGGGATCAAAAGAAATAAATATATATTCATAATTTGAATATAATTTAACATAATGTTTACCATAAGTTTCTATTAATACGACAAACGGACAGTTAAAAGTTTTTTCATTCATTAATTTTTGTTCATTATATACTTGTATAGTAATACCATGTAGTATATTTACTTGTACTAAGAATACAGATATTGATGATTAGTAATTTAATAATACTACACAAATAGCATCTTTGTGTATACGTAATTGTTTGAATTATGCTCAATAGATTAATTCCATAATGATTGTGACAGTAAAATAATTAGGCTAATTAACTTTAAATTAAATAGAGATAATTTAAAAAGTATATTTAGTGTTTAAAGCCATATATATGGGTGAATTTCTTTATTCATACAAAAACATGTGTAATATTTAATGAGTTTTCATTTTACATACAAATATTATTACAAGTAGGGTTTATTATTATCGTATGATATAAAATGGGCGGGATTTGTACGACAAATCAAATTCTATGTAACGGAAGCTGTAAGGGGTGATAACTGTGAAGGAAAATCTTATCTATTATTATAGAAATAGAGTCTAGAATCAGTTGAGTTTAATAAAATATGAAAGTTATATTTAGTTATTTCTCATGATAAACTTATTCGTGTTCATTTAACCGAGAAAGATAATTATTAAGGTGGTATTTACTAAGTAACTTTTCAGTATAAGTTTTGTAAAGAAATAAAATAAGATTATTATAATATTCAGTATAGCTTTTAAGAGGTAAATAACCTATTATGGACCACATGTGATGTATTAAAGAAGCCTCTATTATATTAAAGGAAACCATACTTGAGGTATTTTAAAATTAACAATATCTATACTAACTTATATCCCCGACTTTGTCCGCTTTGTATCAACAAAGTTTTCGTATGTGAAAGAATACATACATCACTAGTGGTCATATAAAACGATGTTTCTCCTTTAAATAACTTTGTATTAAGCGAACGTATCTTTAAATTTTTTATAAAGAATTATTGTTTGAAGATAAAACAACAGCAAGAGCAGACTTGTAGCTAATTATATTATTATTATAATAATCTGATAGTACATAATATTTAAAAACGGCTTAAATAACACTTTATTTCCGAATAAGTAACGTAAATACATATATGTATATTACTATGTCGTTGATTTTTTTTTTCAAATCTTTCTGTCAATCGTCTCGGTACAGCGCGCGATGTAATTTGGCATTTCGCTTTCAAACGCAAACAAACAAACGAACATACACTAGTCGTTCCTACCGGCCAATTATGTGTGGAATACGCCATGTGCTGCTAGTGATGTGACCATCAGATATCGATAAGAATGTGTATACGAAAATTGTGTCTTAAAACTATTAAATATAGAAGGCAATACAAATAATTTCCGTTTACATTGAAATCGAATCTTGATAAAAATTCTTATTAAAATTTAAATAAAAAAAAAAAATATATTTGTCGTCATAAATTACGGATTATATATTGCTAAAAAAATAATATTTTATTATAAAAATGCTAATGTTGTTTATGTGCACCTGATGACTCGCAGCTGAAGCGACTCGACCAGGTTAACAATAAATCGAATATTATTAAAGAACCTAATAGATAAAATGAACAATTTTATCGATCTCTTAAACGCTATATTTTATATACATATTGGATTTATCGTAGCGATCAAGATAACGTTGCAATCGAGTCAATTTATCGATAATGTCCCTTGAAACGTCACTAATCGAACTGGCAATCCTTATCACCCATTACAATCGTCATTACCGTATGTCGATACGTTATTTTTATTTTGGAATTGAATATTAAAATTTATCTTCCTTTAAACGAATACAAAATTATATAATAATTTTCGTATTTTGTATAGAATTATGTATAAAAAAATTCAATTATATTAAGTATTTTTAGTTTTAAGTTAAATGAATTCTCTTTAAAACGTTTTGCACCAATAAGAATCTGTTTGATAGATAAGATGCTATCTTTCGAGGGCCCGTTTCTTATTTATATTTTATATTAACTGATAATAAAGAGGCGTTCTATGTACAGTATCCTTACCACAAGTTATAATTGCAAACTAAAGTCAGATAGTTTGAAGTTTGTCGTTATATTAAACTATAAAATCTACTATTATTGTTTGTCTTTGTTTTTCGATGTTTATTATGAAAACTCTTAGTAAAGTTAATAAGGTTGGTATGTTGCTAATCAGATCAAATTATATTCATCAAAGAAGCTATTATTTATTTTAAATCTTTTTAAACTCTATACAATCTTAACACAATAATAATTATCCTTTTTAGAAATAGAATAACTGATAGCATATTTCAAATATGTTTAAATATAAAACGAATCAAATTAATTTAATACAGTTATTGTTATCATCTTTTAAAAGCGAAATACGATAAAGAATGCCTGGAAACATTTTCTATTATACATAATCAGTTGAGTATTTTAGTTACAATAAAGTTATATAACATTATATAACAAAATGTAAACCAACTAACTTCAACTAAAATATACGGAATTGAGTAATTGCTTTGCTTTTTTTTTCATAATTTCACCATAATAATTATGAACTGTTGAACAAGAAATACAAAATGTTAATTTGAAAGTTTCACCAACATGCAACTGTGATTGCGGACGACGTGCTTTGAAAATTGTTTCATAAAACACACACAAGGACGAATTATATACTAGCTTTCCGCCCACGCCTTCGAGTTCGGTTATATCGCGATTCCAAGAAAACTTTTCAAAAGTCTGGGATAAAAACTATCCTATGTTCTTTCTCAAGGTCAATTCTATCTCTGTACCAAATTTCATTGAAATCAGTTCTGTGGTTTAGGCCTGAAAGTGTAACAGACAGACAGATAGATAGAGTTACTTTTGCATTTATAATATTAGTAGGGATGTTTATATACAAGCGTATACTATAGTATTTGATATGGTTATTTTATTAATATCATCATGTTACAACAACCCAAATGTTTTTTTATAATGAAAACACAAAAAAACATAGATTGAAACATGAGTTAGAGCAGCATAGAGTATGCCAGAAAATAAGAAATCTATGGCGGTTGGTGATAAAATAACCAGACCAACTGACAGACACTCACATCTCGTCTGCCCGTGATCACGGTTGCTGAAAAGTAACCGAAACGTGGTGGGTAGTTGTGTAGTTTTTATCCAAAAGCAAGTCGCGTAGTATATCCTCCATATATTAGTTTTAGTCTCAACATAGATTGAAATACATTCTATACCTCTGATATCGTAACAGCTGAAAAAGATCATATAGCCATAGACAAAATCCATAGACAAAAAACTTTACAAAAATTCTATTATTTGGTAAGGGTTTGCCTGTCATAATAATATAATACATGCTAAAAAGCAATTATTTATTAAAGTTAAATATAATTTGGCATGATATAAACATCGCAAAAAGACGAAATATGTGTATATTTTTTTATAATCTGCAAATTATAAAGAGCGCCTTTTTGAGTTAACATCGGAGTGTTTTAAAAAAAATTTCGTTCTGTTATGCGATGGTAACACGGAAGGCTAGTTAGCTGTTTAATTATTAACTTTCTACCCCATTTAGGTAATATTGTGAATATTGACCTTAAAGAACATTATCAGATGTTTCCTGAGAAAGTTTATAAATTGTATTTTTTATTTAATATGTTTAACCAACAAAGCATGTTTTTTCAAATAGCGTGACAATGATTTCCATAGAAGGTTGAAGTGACTGAATTATTATCAATTTAGTTTTAGTAATATTATTAATAAATATTATTATATGTACTAATGATGACCGAACTAATTAACTGCATGATTTATTACTTAATGTAAAGAGAGTTTTGACAGAAATTTTAAATGTTGCGAGTAAAAAATTTATATGAGATTATTTGATTATAGCAATGCTGGCTTTACTAAAGTTATCTAGATAATATATATATTAATAAAATGACAGAAGTCTGTATTCTGAAGCTGTTAATGCATCGTGGTACTTCTGGATAGATAGAAAATAAATTCTTCCAACTTTTCTTCAAAGCCTTATTTACTTAAACATTAAATAAAACCAAAAAAGTTATTAAATTTTAAGCAACAAGGAATATTATAAGTTTTAAGTAGGTACGTGTTCAGTGATGTGTAGTTATTAATGCATTTAATATATCAAACAACGTAAACAAAGTCGCATGTATCAGCTAGTCTAATAAAAAACGGAATATCCACTATAATACATAGCTTGTTCATCATAAACAGCAATAAATTATGCATATAACATGTTCTTAACATAGTAAAGAATTCCAGATGTTGTTTGAGCTGGAATATTCTCATTTGATAAGTGACCTGGAAATTAGTATTTTAAACGCTCATGTAATTTATCAATTAACCTTTTTCCTATACTTAAGAGTTAACGGATAAATTATATACTTTATTAGAAATTATGATTGCTCTTAAAAAAATAGTGCTAATTATATAGATAGACTACTTTT